AGTAACAAACCGCGAACAATTGCTGTCCGTGCCAATTTTTTTTATTCCAACCCAACCAAACCTTTAACATTTACTAGACTTACAATTATCGGAATTTTGTCATCGTATACGCGTAGTCTCTATTTACTACGAGATTTGTGCATCATGAATATAAGGATTGTTATGCGAAAAAATAGTGACGAGATTTCACATGTTACTTCATCATTCTTGTTATATGATTTTTGATATATTCGACGGTTTTCGACGGTTTAGCGCAATCTTTCAGCAGAGCGCTGTCGTAACGACACTAAAGTGAAATTATGGAACAAACGGAATTTCAAGTTAAATGCGCGCGTGCTTAATATTATTAACGTTACATCACTGCACAGAATATTGATACCTCGCGTGCCGTGGGTGTAACTTAATCCTCTTCATCATTATTTTGGGAAATCGGACAGGATCCCAATTAGATCCCAAGATATTTTCCGCGCAAGAGGCGGAAAATCCATGCTTGGGACAAGAATGGGATTCCCCAATTGGTGTCGCATAATCCATATTGGGAGAACTTTCGGCGTTCTACTCGGGATCTATGTTGCAATTGGGAGAATCTTACGAAAGATTTTCTCGCGAGAGCGTTTTATTTCAACACGCTGGCGAAAAGGCAGCGCGCGCGACCACCGAGTTGTGATGAATTTTTCTCCCCGTGCGTAATATTCGAGCGAGGAAACAAAAGACGACGCGCGGTATAAAAAGGCAATGTAAAAGGCTGTAGGAGAGAGGACCGCGAGAGCTCTACCTGCGTTTGATATATCGGCTTCGGTGGCCGGATAGATGGATTACAATCATTCCGGGAGCTGGGGTGGTCAAATACCGTGACCATGCGTGCTTCAAACGTATCCTCGCGCACGCACACACACCCACACGCTCTACGACGCACTTTCGAGTACACACGTGGCGCCCGTGCGTGCACGCGCACTCCTGCGTGCAGCGGGCTGCAAGGACGTATATTTTCAAGAGTGCCCAGAATGCAGAAGGTACGCGGCGTGGCACGAAAATTTTCCGAACTGCGCGCTCTTCTCCCTCGCCGGCGCCGTACGCGTCTCTGCGTTACTCCCCGGGTAGAAAAATGTTAGGGAAAAACTGGCCACGCTAGACGGAAACTGGACAGTTTTCACGGGCTTGAATTAATCGGACGGTAATTGTTCAGAAACTGTCGAAACAATATTTACTGGTATTTCTCGGCCAGTTACTTGTATTAAACTATTTCAAGTGAAAGAAAATAGTTAACGCCGGACAGTTTCTAACTAACGAAAAACTCTGAAAATTCCGGCCAGTGCCATCTCCTGGCCAGATACTAGGGGAAATGATAAATCGATGAAACAGTAGACGAAAATGAAATGCTCAAGGTCTTATTAAGAACTGGCTCGGAAACTGGCTAGTTTTACTATCCAGTTATTGTCAAAAGCAAAAGTCTCCCAAACTTGTAAGTTTCGGCCGGTGAAACGGATCAGAAACTGGCTAGTTAGGGAATTATTGGCCAGTCACTGGCTAGAAACTGGTTTAATTTCCACTCGGGTCGTGAAAGAATTCAATCGATCGTCTCTATCCACTACGGATAAATCGCGCTATAATATAGTGATGATATTAATTCCTATTCGACCAACCCCAAAACGGTACATCTATTTTTATCTCTGAATAATTGCGCTCGCTGGTTACTTCGTGTCCTCGACGGCGCGATTTAAACGCGGTCGACATTGCGCGAAGAGAGACGGAATTCGATGTCTCGTTTTTGTACATTGCGTGATTTAAGAGGGAGAGAGTATTTTCTGCGTTTGTGTGCCCCCCCCCCCCTTTTCCCATAGAACCAGAGTGCAAAGATGAGCCTTTTGCTTTATAATATCATGAACAGGGGAAGAGTTAATCTCTCGTGTTTCGGAATAACAGTATTACAAGGATTATATCGGCCCCCGGATTCTTTTCTGGGATTCACCTGTGCGGATAATGCAACTCTCCCGAGGCGTTTCTTGTATAATAAATTGAATAGGTGCCGATCGATGCTCCTTCACGAGGAGATCGGGGTGTACGTTACTTCAGCGGATCATCCGTACGGATGAATCAGACAAAGCGAAAATGTATCGCCGAATACACACGCGTACAACGTGTTCACGATGTTTCCCGATGTAGAAATTAAACCAGTATCTAGCCAGTAACTGGCCAGTGATTCTCTAACCAGCCAGTTTCCAGCCAGTTCGTTCCTAATAACGCCTTTGAGTATTTAATTTGCTTACTATTTCATTTGCTTGTTACTTCGCCGAGTTTCGGGAAATGGAGAAACGCTAGCCGGAGTCTCAAGAGTTCTCGCTGGAAATTGACACCGTCCGGTGTTAACTTGCTATTTTCCCGGAATAGTTCATTCGCAAGTAACTGGCCGTGAACTAACAGTCAGTATTTTTTCGACAGTGCCCGAACGGTTACCGTCCAGTCGATTCGGTTCTTATATCTGAAATTCGCGATCCGGCGTACCGATTATCCCTTTACTCCGGGCTTCGTAACTTTTCATAACGATCAAGGGCGTAATTAGAATGATTAATGGCGAAGCGGAGCGTGTCGTGTATTAACGGATGACCTCGGTGAAGCATCGGTGAAGCTCCGCGCGAAATGAGTCCCCCTCGCGGATCGCCGCCGGTGGCTTGTGATTTTTCGAGCCGGTTATTTTTCGACCGAAGGCGGCCAGCGATCGAGAGATCGAACACGGTCAATGGAGACACGCGGTCTTATTCCGTTGAATGCCAGAACATGAACATGGTCGTGGCACAGGAAGAAGGCAGGGGCACATCCGTATCGTGGTCAGAACCCGTGACCCCCTGATATATACGTGCCCGCGTGTAAACGTACGCGCGTCCGTCCACACAGCAGCACACACGCGAGCCGCGGCTTTGCCAAGGATTATCCCCCGCCCTTCGTTGCCCCCGCTTTTCATTGTGAAATCGCGAAGCGTTGGACATGTATACATGTATGTNACTCGTTACGTCGATAATTTGCACGAGATTTTCAATGGGAAACAACTCACCGGGGCGAAATTGCGGTTATCAGATTGCAGTTCGCGAACGGCGAACGGAGGTCGGACACATTTTCTAATACACGACACGCGACTAAGACTCTCGGAGGGAAGGATTCGCAGGGGTGTTCTTCGAAGACGCGGCATCGATGGAATAATTACATTTTGAAAAAACGCGCCTTATATTTTTACAAGCGCAACGATACACATACACACGAGTACTCAGCTACCCGATTAAACTTATACATATATATATATATATATATATAATATATATATATACGCAGGTGCTGCGAATTCGATCCCGAATTTTTGATGCACGCGGCTGCCGCAGCAGCGTTCGCCTACACTCGCGCGAATAATGATTTCCTTCTTTCGAGCGCGATCGTATCTCCGGCGATTGTCGACGTCTTATAAATAACGTCGCCTTTTACCTTTGTTTACCTCCCGATGTAGATTGGGCGCGAATGCGCATTTGAACACGCGCGCACGAAAGAAGAAACGCGTCTGTCGCTTTTTCATTTGTAACGACGAGACGGGCCGTTTCGAACGCTCTCCTCTGCTCGAGGAGGGCTCGAGAACGAGAGGATGTCGCGAATCCATCGAGATAGTGGGCGCGTTTTCGCGAAATTTCGCTGCTTCTTTAATTGTTACGACGCAGTAACAGGCCCGGCTCTCGTTTACTTTATCACTTATTTTAGGCGTCGGGGGATAATCGCGCGTCACACGTGGAGTAGCCGGCTGCTTAGAGATGCGAAAGAATGTGCCAAATTGATGACGAGGAATTAAGCGGACTGAAAGCGGCCAGGGGTGCAAGAAGCGGTAGGGTGGCCAATTGGCTGTGTAATGTCAGAAAGGGGTTGCGCTTCTCGCCCCTCGCCTCGGCAACGAATATATACCGGCGCTGCGTTATTTTTACATGTGAGCTCGCGCAGAGATCGCCGAAAAGTACACGGCGCGCTAATCCACGACCGCGAAACCACGTCTTCGTGTTAACGGAGTTTCCTACTCCTCGTCGCGCAAATAAGGGTTTTCATCCCGCGGCGATCGCGCTGTAATTTCACCGTGGAATGACTCGACTTCTCGTAGGGTGAAGGGAGAAACGCGCGTGGAAACTATGTGAAGTACAGCACATCGATCGTGCAGTCTCGCTCTCTCTCCCCGTCTTCTCTATCTCTTGTGTTTATTTCCAGAAATGATTTTCCCACAGTGGGGAACGTGAACGTCTTCCTCGTGTTTGTGGATCCTTGAAACGCCGCGTATCGCGGTAACTACGCTCCCTTATTAATTCCCGCGCCTTTTTGCAACGGACCTCTTTCCTCGGGGAAAATACGCACATGTTGAAAAATGTTATTTTGCATTTGCATTGAATTGTCGATCCTCGTGAAAATTATACGTTAAATTTTTCACACATCCGCGTGTTAATTTAACGTGCCGCGTTTGTGTCATCTAAATAGATTTTACGTACGAGTGTGATATTCAATATGTATAAGAGTGTTAGCGCATTTGATATCTCAGTGTCGATTAATGTATTATGGATTATTAATTTCGCGTCACTTTGCAATATATATTCACCTTGTATTAAATTCACAGAAAAATGTGCGTGAACCATTCGTGACGGAGAAAGACGATTTCGCTGACGCGGCAAATTGTTAGTCACCACGGGGACAGCAAAGGGACTTGTTGCAGGGAAATATAATTTCGCTGTCGCGGCAAAGTCGTCCGTAAAATTCGATCGTTGTGACGAAATTATTTCACCGTCCATAACTAACCAGCGAACGGCGATTAATAATACTCTCAGCCGGATTTTTTCCGGCTGTCTCTGCGGTGACTACGAATTTTCCGCTCTGTCGGCGGAAAATATTTTCCCGATCCGTCCGAAACACGGCTGAATTCAGCGGGGAATTTTCACCCGGCGGAGACTGTTCGCGCGAAGACGATCCTGAAACGAAGGAAAAATTACCTGCACTTGATCCGTCTTAGCAGCCACCCATGCCTCTACGAAGGTGTCCATCGCGCTCTGAAAATCCATTCCCTTGCGGGGCCTCAATAATTCTCCTGAGCCTCGGAAGTCGCGGCCATCCGTGACATGTCACGCGAAGCTCTCGAATCCTCACAGGCTCGCGCTCGATACCGATGTCGGGTGTGACACTTATTAGTCGAGCGAGTCAGATACCAACTCGGGAAGTGTGCGGACAGTCTTCAAGTGTCAATATATATCTCGCCCCTCCGAACAGTTTTACGTCACTGCGACCACCCGCGTGTTACGACGAGTGTCGATAGCGCGCCGGGACATGAAACTTTCTATATTCACGATTGAGATCACAGATGTGTTGAGACGGCGCGCATCGAGTGTCCGTTTTTCCTCCCGTATCTTAGACGAGCTTATACTGGTGCTTATTAATTCCCGACGCTACCGAATGCTAAGTAATTATAACGCGTGCTCGCGCGGTGTCGTTTCCTCTTCCTCCTCGTTCCTTCGTTTCTTTCTCTTTTTTCCTCGCACCGAAACGACGACGGCACCGCCTACAACCGCTCTACGATATCTCGCTCTGCAAGCTCTATTTGGTATAGCGTGATATATTAAATACGACGATACGGCGCGTAGACTCGTGACTAGACTGCGGAAAATCACACACGTGCTCGCAACTCATTACGATGAGTATCGTTCGAAGAGCGAGAAACCTCCTCCCGTTCGGCCGATCTACAGTCCTCCTCTCGTTCTCGATCACCAGTCGCCGCCGTCGCGGCTTCTGCGTTACCAGAACCGTCACGTACACGATTCGGAACACCGACGTCTCACGCCCGATGAGAGTTCCTCGATCATCGATCACAAGCTCGATCACCTGTCGTCTCTCCCCGCAACGGGAAAGCAACGGAAAAGCACTGTTTCGTTGTGCGCGCGGCCGTCACTCTGCTTGTCAGAATCGAACATGTGCGTCTCTTCGTGCTCCGAAACCCGGATCGATCTCCTCGGGGTTCTCCTCTTCGGAGAGAAAAAGAGAGAGAAAGAGAGAGAGAGAGAGAGAAAGAAAAAAGAGAAAAAGGAAGAAAAAGAAATAAAGGGAGAGAGAGAGAGAGAGAAAGAGAGAGAGAGAGAGAGCCTCCGCGCGCCGCCGAGAGTCCAATCGCGATCGCGTTCACATCGTCCTCGCTCCTCCGTCCTGGATGGCTTTCTTTTATTCTCTCGTCGGTAAAACCGCGATCAGCGATGAAATGTCATCCGCGTCGCCGGGGACGAGCACGGACCGCGAGGACGACACGTTCGCAGGCTACGGCGTTCGAGCCGCGACTGTGCGCGTCGAGGCGTCGCGGCGCTCGTTCTGCCCCTACGACGCCCTACCCGAGAGCGCGGCGCGTCGGTATCAACCCCACCACCGTATCACCGCCGCCACCACCATCGGCACCGCGAGAGAGAGACGGAGAAAGAAGGAGAGATAGAGAGAGAGAGAGAGAGTAGCCGCGTCTACCGAGATCGCGAGAGAGTGCCTCTCCTCTGGTCCTCGTCTCTTTCCCTCTCTCTCTCTCTCTCTCTCTCTGGTTCACCCTCGCTCTCACCGGCTCCTTCGGAACCACCTTCGTCGTCCTCTCCGATCCCGCCGTCTCTCGCTCCCGCTCCCTCTTTATCCTCCCCTGATTTCGCTCCCGAGGAAGCTCCGGATAAGGCGTCGTCCCTCCCCCGCTTCGCCGCCTCCTCGCTTCGCGTCGGCCTCACGGAGAGGCTCCGTTCCGGCTGCGTGTTTACCTACCTGCTGGCTGTTGTTCCGATGTCGCCCCAGCCGTCTCGCGTACGGGATTCTTTCCCGGTCGAATTCCCCGGCCGGAGGTGTCGCGAGGAGCCGACGAGGAAGGGAATTCCGGCGTGAAAGAAGCCGCAAGTCTCGCGTAATCGGTGCGAACGCGAGCCCCCGCGAGTACACGTCTTCCCGTTCCATCGTCGCACTTTTGACTCCTCTTCGAAAACAGAAGGAAGATCCCCTCGCCTTATTTATCTCCTCAGCATGTGCGAAGGTTTTCTCACAATTTTCTCCTTTATGCTCGTGAGCGCTTCGCTCGCCCGTGAAATTCATCCCTCTTATATCTCGCATCTTTTCCCACGAGGTTGAATGAGAGGTTTCGCTCCCTCTCTCTCTCTCTCTCTCTCTTTGGTTCACCCTCGCTCTCACCGGCTCCTTCGGAACCACCTTCGTCGTCCTCTCCGATCCCGCCGTCTCTCGCTCCCGCTCCCTCTTTATCCTCCCCTGATCTCTCTCTCTCTCTTTCTCTCCCGCGCACATTTTATCCCCTCTCTTGCAAAACGATCGCATCGCGTGCGCATATATTTATTCTTTTACGAAATATGACTCTTAAGCATTTCGTCGGCCGCAAATTGTTCCTCGTCCCTTTCAACGAGTTCGTCGTTTTCTTCTATTTCGCGCGACGTTTTCTCACCTCTCTACCTATCGATCTAATCTCCTCGCGTATTCCGCGGGAATTTCTCACTCGTGTCCATACTTCTTCTCCTAGACGCGGTGGCAGATCCGTTCTCTCATCCCGAACCAATCTCGTTCTCCCGTTCTTTTTCCTCTCGGAATTCCTCCTCCGACGCACTCGGCTCCTATCTTCCCCACTCCCGTCTGCACTTCAGCATCCCCGCCACAGAAGCGTTTCGGGGGTGTGTCTAGAGATAAGGTGCACGTACACTGTTGCACCTGTCCACCTGCAACGCGCTCTGTGAGAGACTCGCGACTGCCGATGACCCGGCTTAGGTGCGGAAGGAGCATCAGGCGGTATCCGTACTATCGCATCGACTTCTTTGCGGTCTCGATTGCGAAGTGTGCGCTTGAAATAAGGCTCTGAATGATGTATCCGTAAAGGAATTTCCATCATCTGCGTCCGGGCAAGCTCTGCATATGCTTCGAAGCTCTCTCGATCGGGAAAAGCATTTAGATTAGCGGATTACGCTGAAACGAGGATGTCACCGTGACGGTAATTCTTAGATTATGCATATTTCTAACGTCACGTGCATAACAATATATTTCCCAGAAATTGTCTTCGTGTGGAGACAACAGCGAAAAATGCTTGAAGCTTGAAATTCGCAAATTTGACGATGAACAGGATGTTTTTTTTTTCCTATATTTAATAGGACGACTTAAATCGATGTGAAAGGAAATTGCATTCGCTTTTTTCACCGCCACCGCTTGTAAATAAGTGAGAAAAGAACGGTACTAATTGCGGGCCTGTGGATACGTTGCAGTAATAATTAAATGCGCGTGTGGCGCACGAGGAGGATCGGTGCGTTTAATACCGCGCGATAAGAGGCAGCAGATGCGTATCCGGATTAGAAATTGATTCGATAGAGCCATTCCTTGACCTTCGTAATAAAAACAATCAAGATCCGAGAGATCGCGAATTCATCCGTCGATAAGCGAAATAGATTAACAGCCGGCTAATTTCGGAAAAAAATATTCCTACGATCGCCCAGCTGGAAGAGGCGCGGCTCGAGCGGCGCCCGGAAACGTAAATTCGGCGCGAGTGAATCGCAGAGAGGTAACATTGAAGCGACAACGCGATGAAAAACTGCGAGAAAGACTCGATGGAAAATTCAGAAATATCATCTGGGAGTTACGTAACAACTTTAACTAACTATTCCATCGATGAGGCGACGGAAGTATCTCCGGATTAAGATAACGGTGTTTAATGTGGAGACCCGCTCTCTTCTCTCGGAGACACGTGAAGCTGCGGTTCTCTTCGAGCGTAGCGCTTATTAAAATGAATCGCTCAAGCCGGAGAACGTCAAAGGGAACGTGTACGCGCGTATTCGCGTACGTATTCGCACTCCTCTGTAAATGTCACCGTTGGATTAGACGATCTCTGGGAATTAATTTCCACAGACGACGAATAAGTGTAGTGTCGTCCTTACCGATCCTCGCGGTATCCACCGAATTTCCGGTGCTTCGGCATCCTTCCCGATTACGTCCTTGCGCGTTGCGTGTGCCCACGCGTGTGTGTGTGTGTGTGTGTTTTACACGCGAGCCCATGTGCGTGCGCCCGTGCGTACGGCTTCGTCGAACGTGGTACGAAATAACGACACATATATATACGACTCATAGTCGAAGGTATAAGTGCGTCATTATCGTCTGATAATCCGCCGGAATTAGGTGAGAATTCACGATTCAGCCGATATCGAGTATCTGGCCGTTTTATCGGGCCGGATTAACCGACGAAACGAAGTATTTGCGATGTAACCCGGGGAGATCTTCCAGATAACGCGGCCGATTGCGTAACGCGCGGCGGACTTCTCGCCCGATAACTCTTTATCGCCGGCGTTACCAATCGTTCCATCGTTACGCCCGACGGAAATCTATACGCTCGCGGCCCTGCAGCCCCGTCTTTTCTCTTTTCCCTCCCGGCTTTTACCACCGGGAAAATAATGAGAGAGCCGGGAGGTGGCGATGTTGCGCCGCCGATTGGCACGTGCTGATTCTGATATTGCGAGCTACCGTTTCCTGCTTGCGGTGGGATGATACGCGATAATTGCGCCAACCGCGAGCATTTAACAGCAGAATTTTCCTGGAATTCCCCCCTCCTTCCGCCCTCCTCACGTCCATCGCGCAGATTTTCGCGAGCTTATCGTCGCAGGGGAGGGCAGGGGGATGACGACATTTGCGTCGAACAGCTATAACCGAGTGAAATCAGCTCCCTTGTGCGATCTACGAATAGGGATTATTGAAACAAAAGGAAGAGGGAGGGGGGGGGAAATATACAAACTGCCGCAGTGCGTACACGGCTTAATTCCGATAGCCCCGATAGCGTCCGACCGGTCGGCAGACTGGATAATCCCGGGATTAAGCCGAGTGCTCCGAAGTTAATGTCTTATTCACGCGGCACGTGTGCGGTGTCGTCCGCTCGGCGGTTTGGCGCCGACAGAAAGTCGCGCGTGGACTTTTATTCGATGTTCAGAAAATCACTCGAAACGTAGGCGACGCGAGAGATGATTTATGCGAGCCGGCATGCGTTTACCGGTAGTGGGCGAAGTTACGAGTTGGCACCTGCGAGCGAGGGATAACGGCGATTCAATTAACACTCTCCCGATCTCTCCCGTTTCGCTCAGTCGAATCGCTCCGAGCTCGGAGCGAAAGTTTCTCGCGAATCGGTCGCTCAACGCCCTCGTCGATGATGCGATAATTCGGGGGGTCACGCACGCCGATGCCCGATGCCGTGAAACACGCGTCTGTCGTGGCGTGGCACGCGTGTTCCGCGCGGAAGCTGCGCGAATCTCCGGGCAAATTCGCCTCGACGGAGTCTAGCGAGATTTCGTTCGCCGTTACAGCGTTTTACACTCTCCAAATCCGATCGCATTATTTCGNAGAGAGAGAGAGAAAGAGAGAGAGAGGGGGGGGGGGGGGGTAACCAGACGCGTAACAAACGCGTCTGCGTCTTATCCGGCCGCGAGGTTACTCGATCCGCTTTGATCCTGAAGCTACGCGCGCGCGTGCACGAGCCTTAGAAAATGGTAAAATAAAGAGAAGCCGTTAACACCTTGATTAACCCTCTTAACGCGCAGGCTCGAGTCGGACAAGCGGCAGAATTGTGCGAACTCGCGTGAGTTCTCGGGCATACATTTATATTATCACTCGGGTTTTATTTTGCATCATCACGGGGAGAGAATTAATCTCAAATCAATGGTATTCTCATGTACACTGGCGGAAAATTATAGTTATTTTTTTCGATGCCAACGAATATCCTTCGGTTATTTTAACCGCGAAAATAGAAGTAGCTACGTGCACGTAAGGTTATTATCACTGACGCTCACACTAATAACTTACGGGAAAAAGTTCTCTTGGCTGTCTTCGCGGTTAAAATAACAAAAGGATACTGCCGGCACCGGAAGCAACTGTAATTTTCTCTTGGTGTATAAGCAAGAATACTATAATCTTCTTAGAAGATTGTAGTTAAAAATGTCTTGTGTTAAAAAGAGGGCCCCACTAAAAATGTTGCGTTATTTTAACACGAGGAATGTGTTGAAAAATACACAAATATAATATCACATTTATATACTTAACGCATTTCTCATATTAAAGTG